CCTTAAGTCTCCCCCAGTCCTTTCCTAACAGTAAGCAATATTCTTACTTTTTAAACAACACAAATCAGTTTCACCTCTTATTTTTAATTTTATGCAAAAAAATTATCTCTGCATTACCGCTTGTAACTTTTACCATCTGTAACTTTTTTCATTCAATGTTTATGATTGGTATCCAGGTTTCAAAGTAGTTCTTTTCTTTTTATAAAATGTAAATTGTAATGACAATAAAACTAAAAATTATTTTTATGCCTTCTCTGTACTAGTTTTATTAGCTTATATAAATACTGACTATATCACAAATTTAAAATGGGTAAAAAGACCAGCAACTTGTACCAAATTACAGTAGACAATAAAGCTAATCAACGCCCAATCAAGCACCAGCCATTGCCAAGACAAGAAGACTTCCAGTCCCACTTGGCTGTTCTAAAACTGTCCAGCTAAATGCAGCTAGATAAACCCGGGGGGAGGGGGGGATCAGTGAAGAAATCACCACTCACAAACTCTGAAATTTTAAAATGCAAGTTATTAAGGCAGAAGTTTGTCAAGAGTAAGGAACTGGTTTTGTAGTGTTAGATAACTGACAAATCATTCCTAAGAATATCTAGGCTGAGCTTTAAAAAATGTATTATTGTACACGTGTATATGTGTATGATGTACATGCTACAGCACACATGTGGAAGTTAAAGACAACCACCTTGGTGTGGTTGCCAGGGATTTAATTGGGGCCACTCACAAGGCCTCCAAAACAAACACCTTTCTGTTCCCTTGAGCCACGTTACCAGTCTCCCAGGCTGACTTCTGAGTGCCCCTCCCATTACAAAGCCACAGTCACTACAGTGGGGATTTCAGAACACAAGGGCAGGACAAAGTAAAGAAATCATTTCTCTCCTTCCTTGAGTTGATAAAGCATTTCAGATTATTCTGAGAAAAATTAACGAAGATGCCAAAACTACTTTTGGGTCGGTTGTCTAGGTGCTGTAGTTTGTTAAACCTCTTTGTTAAACCTCCACGTACCCAGATATTTACTTAAAGGGAAGCCATGAAATGAAGGGGATGAGGGGGAAAGGTAGAAAAGAATCAAATTCCTGTCTCATTTTTTTCATCACTCAGATTTTATTAATACTCTAATCTTTCAACACTTTCAATCCTTTGAGTAAAAAGAAAAAAATCTAAACAGTAGTTAACTGCTTGACTGCTCTCTGAATTAAAGGTCCAAGGACACTATCACTACTCTCAGATATACTTAACAAAAAATCTCATGCACAAGAATTTAAAAGCATAATAAATGTATAAAGGAAAAAAGGTCAACCTAGCATAAGGGCTCATGCCTATAATCCCAACACTTGGGAGGCTGTGGCAGGAGGATTACCTAGTTTAAGGTCAGCCATGGTTGCATAACAAGATCATGTCTCGACACAACAGAACAGGGAAAAGGCAGAAAAGAAAAGGGGAGGAGAACAGGAGAAAGAGAAGATGGAAAGAAGGAAAACAGCCACTGAAACCAGGTACTGTACAAAGTGTATAACCATGTTTCCAGTCGTTATGCTTACGCTCCATCAGGGCAAACACTTCAGTTCCTATACAGAGTCTTACGATGCTCAAATGACTAAAGATGGAATGAACACACAAAGTACCCAGTCCAGTCTCAGCCTAGATGGTCAATAAAGAAGGTAGTAGATACAAGTCTTAGGCTGCGTAAAAAGAAATCAGAAATTCTAAATACAATAAAAACAATGATGAAAGGATAAGTGGAATTAGTCAAATGTTTCCAGAAAATTTATGTAAAAGTAAAATTAAAGCAGGAGTGGGATGTAGGGAGAGCTTGGGATGTAGGGAGAGGTGAGCAGGGTGTAACTATCTGCTGGGGAACTTTTTTTATTATTTATAGGTATGCTTGTTGTCACAAATGGCAGCAAGAACAAAATGTTAGGGATGTTGTTAAATGATATCCAGCACACAGTACAGCCTTCTCTTCTCCTATCCCTTATATATTATCCAAACCAAAATGTCAAGAGATGTTGAAAAGCCCTAATGATATGTCATGAAGAAACTTGTAGGTTATGATCACAATGTCTTGTTTGGTCCTGATAGCCAAAAGTGTCCTTCCCCGTGGACTAAGAGATTCCTTTCTTCTACATTACATTAAAAGTACATCCTAGACTCTAACACTAAAACCATCACACGTCATCTCCCTAATGTCATTTCAAACAGTAAATTTTAAATTCAAATAATTCTGTATTATACTCTGTAAGCTCTAAAATAAGTGACTTACATATTTTTCACCAGTTAAAAATATGCTCTAACCATACATACCATATGAAGCCTCTCAACAAGCTTTTGATCCCCAAGGCAATTATTTGTATCAAACCAGGAATCAAAGTCCTAGATCAACAAACAAAAAACATGTCAAGGTCAAAAACAGTATTAACCACAAACGCCCTATAGCAACAGATGTAAAATGATTTCTAGACTTAGCATGGTATGTGAGTTTTGAGTCATACACAGACACACAAATAATTTAGTTCAAGCCATTGTTTTCCAAGTATCATGTTTACTACTGGCACCAGAACAAGTAGCTGAATCATATTATCTCTTGAGCATTTTTTCCACAAACACAGACTAACAATAAAGAGTCTGAAAGCTGGTTTACAGAAATAATTAATACACGACTCGAGGTTTCAAAGTGAAACTGACATAAAAAGCATTTCATTACTATTTAGATAAGATCTGAATAAGGACAATTTCCTTATCAAATATCTTGAAAATATCTATTATAATTTGCCATGTTAAGCAAATATCTTATAATCTCTATTATATAACTGAGAGCTTTAGCAGAAATACATATTAACCTAGCAAGAAAAACAAATTATCTTAAAATTGTCTCAGAAACATCAAAATATTTATAATTAAAACTTTCAAATCTGAGCCAGGCAGTGATGGTACAGGCTTTTAATCACAGCATTTGGGAGACAGAGGCAGGATGATCTCTGTGACTTTGGGGCCAGCCTGGTCTATAGAGAAAGTCCCAGGACATGCTTCAAAGCTACATAGAGAAACCCTGTCTCGAAAAATCAAAAAACAAACAAAAATCCAAATTTCTCTTTCTAAAATAACCCTTAATAGAACAAATCAAAATTAAAACCTTTATACAGCTTATTTATATAAATGTATTAACATGGATGTCTACAGAGCTCTCCCCACCCATTCCTGACATAGGAACAATCGTCCAGAACTGAACACTGGTTTAACAGCTGTAACTACTAGCAGCACAGACTACTGATACATAAATTATTTTCCCTAGTACAATGAACAGTTGGCCACTACTACCACCATTCTATTATGTAAATAACTGATAGACGTAAAGACTAAGTTAATATACCACAACGAAAAACTCGAGTGATGCTTACTCTCCATTGCCAACTTGAGAGTTTAGAACGAGCCCAGCAATGGACCTCCCAGATGACTACAGGGGACTGTCTTGAGTATGTCAATTAGTGTAGGAAGCTCTATCCAACTGTGTGACCATTCCTGGGCTGGGGATCTTAGACTGTTCAGAATGGAGAAGAGGAGCAGAACACTAGGATACATTTATCACACTCTGTTCTCTGAATGTGAACGATGTATGGTCAGCTACTGCCATCACCTTCAACCGTAACAGGATGTATCCTGAACTGTGGGCCAGAATAAACCCTTCCTCCCTTGTCTCTCTCAGAGTATTTTATCACAGCAACTGGAAGGGAAACTATGACGAAGGGTTAAACGATCCCTTCCTTCACATCTGAAGGACATCTCTGAATGGTAAAACACAATGTGTGAAATATACAAAGATACTTGGGAATGCTTTTAAAACAAGCAGTTAACATAGAAACTCTGAGGTAAAATTAAGCAGCCCTGATTGCCAAACAGGAGTTAAGAATATGCCATTCCAATTGTAGAAACTAATGGGAAATGAGATTAAAGTCAAGGCTCAAAAGTGAATTCTTAATACATGATCAACTTAGTAGGTTAGTAACAGGCTAGTGTAAAAAAAATTAAGACCACCTCAAACAGTGCTATTATTAAACTATAAGGCATTAACCAAAAATATTATTAACCACAAAGAGATGCTTACATCAGCTGAATTAAACACATCCGGTAAGAGAAAATTCAGAAGTGACCAGAGCTCGTGCAAGTTGTTCTGAAGGGGCATCCCAGTTAGCAACAGTCTTGAATTTGTAGTCTTGAATTCCCTCACTATTTCTGACAACTGAAAGAAACAAAGCCCATTGTTAGAACATTCTGAATCAAACCCTTAGACACAAAAATGTTCAGATTGAGTATCAAATTACCTTAGATTTTTCATTTTTTAGCCTGTGAGCTTCATCTATAACTAAGTATCTCCAGTTAAACTTTTTGAACACAGACTTCTCTTTAATGAGCATTTCATAAGATGTGACACACACATCGCACTCTCCTGGTAATAAAACATCCCTGACAAATGCAGTCTGTGAAGCAACAGAAAAAATTACATCACTCAATGCAATTATACATTAAACTTACCAACAAGCAATTTAATACAGAAAAAGGACTGAGACTATTAAACAGTGTAACTATTATTAAATAAGCACTTAAAGCCAGCTTTCCTACCACTAAAATTACCTCATTAACCAGTTTAACGTCAGTTTTAACTTAATTTCACAAAGTTGAAGTGAATCACAAAAACTCAGAAGCCTAACTCTTTAAAACGTCTTTCCACAAGACATCGCTAGGTCTCTATATTCTTAGAAAACAGGATTTATAACAAAAAGACTGACAGTTGTTAGTAAAGTTTCATTCCTTTGATTTGTATATGTATTAACACATTATTATTCTCATTTTATAGATATAGATATGAAAGTATATGAAAGTAAAAGTCAAAGAAGTAATTGAGTCCCCTAAATAAAAAGCAACTTAGTAAGAAGAGACAGCTCAGTGGTTAAGAGCACTTGCTGTTCTTACAGAGGACCCAGGTTCACAACCCAGCACCCACACGGTGGCTCAGAACCATCCATATCTCTAGTTTCAGGAACGTGACACCCATTTCTGGCCTCAGAAGCATGTGCCTGGTATAGAGATATACATCCAGGCAAAGCACTCATAAATATAATCTTAAAAAATTAATCTATCTAGTTAAGCACAAAATCATTTAATACAATCATTTAATCAATGAGTTCAATCCATTATCTCTAATTTCCAAATTTATGTTATCTCTCTGTTTTATTTTTTTGCTTGTTTTATGAGACAGGGTCTCTCTGTGTAGCCCTAGCTATCCTAGAACTCACTCTGTAATCCAGGCTGACCTCAAACATTGAGATCTACCTGCCTTGCCTCCCACGTGCTAGGGTTAAAGGTGTGCACCGCCACCGCCACCACCACCCAGCGAAGTTCTTTATTCTTTTTTTTTAAATATTTATTCATTTATTATACATACAATATCTGCCTACATGTGTGCCTGCAGGCCAGAGAGGGCACCAGATCTCACTACAGATGGTTGTGAGCCACCATATGGTTGCTGGGAATTGAACTCAGGACCTTTGGAAGAGCAGGCAATGCTCTTAACCACTAAGCCATCTCTCCAGCCCCCGAAGTTCTTTATTCTTAATAGTGTCCTTATTTCCATGACTTTGTCCCAAAAGGGTATGGCTAAGAAATCAATATTTTAACTCATATTCGTATCGTAACATCTAAAACTGCTAGAATTGATTCCACTTAAATTTAACAATTACTATTCTGTAACTATTACCATTGTATCCTAATCTAGAAATCTGGTCCCTCAAATTTTTAATCTTGACACATTCAAACCTTCTTAAACATGCTAATAATTCCAAATAGACACAAATAGACACTTTATAAAATCACTTCCAAAGGGAGAAACAAACTGAAAATAAATTCTTAGAGCTTTCTATAGTTTTTAAAGCCTTCTCATAAAATTCTTAACCACAAAAGCAGTATTACAGTTAGAAATCACTATAGTTTGTGAAGACCCTTTCCCTTTCTTCATTATCCCTTCTCTGGCTATTTCATCTTTATGGTATAAAAACTTACTCGTTGCTCTTTATCTCCTATCAAGCAAACAGATCTAAGTGTTGGCACCCATCTCTTGAATTCACTCATCCAGTTGTGCAATGTAGACTTGGGAACCAAAACCATGTGAGGACCAGGAATGTTTCTATAGTGTTTCATGTACCCAAGGAGAGAAATTGTTTGAAGTGTCTTTCCCAAACCCTGAAAAAATTCATCATAATTAAACATCAAATCAATTAATCACATCAATTAAATTGGCCATTGAAAATGCTTTCCATACTGATAGCCACCCATCACGCACAGAAGATTTAAAAGAAATGCTACATTTGGGACAACAAGACAGGAGCTTAATGTGCATGAAAGTTAACAGAGTGAGGTCACAGAAGTCTGTAAAAGAAGGATCAACACCACCCTCCAAGGCTCAGAAAACGGGATAGTCCCAAACTATCAAGTGAGTATCTCTTTTGACTCCTTACTTTCTACAACCAACTGTTGTAGTATGTTGTAGAATGGTAAAAATATTTACTACATAACTAGCAAGTAATGAACAGAAGATACGTTTTATGAACTAGAGCTCTGTAAACTGTTCATAAAACAAGAGAAACAGCCAAACTACTTCACTACAAAACTAAAGAAGCTGCAAGTGGTGGCGCACATCTTTAATCCCAGCACTTGGGAGGCAGAGGCAGGTGGATTTCTGTGAGTTCCAGGCCACTATGGTCTACACACTGTGCTCCAGGGTAGTCAAGGTGATACAGAGAAACCCTGTCTCAAGATAGATAGACAGATAGATAGACAGATAGACAGACAGACAGATAGATAAGTAGCAATTCTTGACAGCGGGGGTTTCATGACAGGGTTTCTTGGTAGCATTGAAGCCTGTCCTAGAACTAGCTCTTGTAGACCTGGCTGGCCTCGAATCCAAGACATCATCCCTGCCTGTGCCTCCTGAGTGCTGAGATTAAAGGCGTGCACCATCACCGCCAAGCAAGATTATAATTCTTCACATGTGAAGACATCACTTATGCAGCTAAGGCAAGTTGCTTATAACACTTCGAGAAAAAATTAGTTGCAATCAACAAAACTGTGCTCCTGATTGCCATAAGTTTAATGTCAACCTATTTTAAGTTACAAAAGCAAAACAACAACCCCCAAAAAAAAACAACAACAACAAACCTTCAAGCTTCAAAATAACCAAATACATACCATTTCATCTGCAAGGATACCATTGATGCCATTTTCATACAGAGAGATGAGCCAATTCAATCCTCGGACCTGATAATCTCTCAGTTTACCCCATTTTACATCTAGAACAACAAAGCAAGTTCAATTTAAACACAAGAAATACAAAACAGGTCAGGCCCCTTTTATCTGATTCTAGAGGTTTACCTGGGACCTATAGGTGTCTTTTTCTTTTCAAGACACATATATTATGGGGATTCTGAAAGGTTAAAATCATTAAAGGTAGCCTATTAAATCTGAACTGAAGCAGGAGAAGCTGGATACAAATAACTGATAATGAACTATGACTGTTGGCATCAGAGTCCTCATCCAAATCACTCAACCAATGTTAAACCACACTTTGGCCTCCGTATCTCTCTTTTTAATGCTAGAACAATGTTTATAACTAAATATTTTTGTTCTTCTTAAAGATCAGAGAGAGGTTCTCTCACAGTAGAATAAAAACAGAGAATTCTTTCTCCAAGTCCACCCTTCCTAATTTTTTAAGTTCTTTTTCTGAGAGATCTTTATGTCTTTTATGTCTTTTTATGTCTTTTAGTATATATTACTTGTTTTACTTCCCGGATAAATCACTGCTTAAGTATGAAAAGCTGGGACTGGAGCGAAGGCTCAGAGGTTAAGAGCACACTGGGCTGCTCTTCCAGAGGTCCTGATTTCAATTCCCAACAACCACATGGTGGCTCACAGTCATCTATACTGAGATCTGGTGCCCTCTTCTGGCACCATAGAGGGGCCATGTTGTATGGCAGAATGTTGTATACACAATAAATAAATCTTAAAAAAAAAAAGACAGAAAGAAAAAAGCTAATCAACCAGGACTGGATACACTAGTTACAATGAATGAATGTGAAAAAAAGTAATCTAAATTTCCTTTCCACCTTGTCAGACATGGTCTCTAGCCTCTAGCTTGATTTGAAAAGAAGTCAGGAGGTGGTGGCACACTGCCTTTAATCCCAGCACTGGAGAGGCAGATCTCTGTGAGTTCAAGGCCAGCCTGGTCTACACAGTGATTTCCAGGATAGCCAGTGCTACACAGAGAAACCCTGCCTCAAAAAAAGAAAAAAAAGAATAGAAGCTGGGTGCTTCATAAGACAAAGGGGAAAAGCAAAGTGAGAGTGAGTAACTCCTTAACATTAGAGTTTAACCAGAATTCTGCTATTGTTCACACTGAATACTCATCTGAACAGGAGCTGCAGGAAAGGTAGGCTGCAGTGAAGATTGAGGAAGTCTCTAATCCTATCAGAAATCAAGATGTGTACAAGTAAAACTAACCTGCCTAAAAGTTTTCTTATTGAAAAACTCTACTACATTTCAAAAATGATTAATTTATGGGAAAACATCAGTAAATAAATTTTCTTCCTGATCCCCCCCCTCCCTTACAAAGTAGTTTTCTTATTTGGGAAAAATACGAGGCAAAATCATTTCATTTTATATGTACCTTATAACATGTAAATAAAGAGCATTTTCACACACGTCTGAAATATAGCACACACTATCCTCTCTCAGCGCTAGGGATCAAAGCCAAGGCGTTGCAAACGGCATGAGACTCGAAGCTCTGACCCCAGTCGACATGTTAACACGTCAGAGCAAACAAACCGAAATTATTCACAGCCTATAGCTATCCAAGATTACGAAGAGTTTATAAATTATCGGTAAAGCAAATTCAAATATCAACCCCTTTCAAAAAAAAAAAATGAAATGAATGATTCAGCTGGGTAGTAGTGGCACCTTTAACCCCAGCACTTGGGAAGCAGAGGCAGGTGTATCTCTGTGAGTTGGAGGCCAGCCTTTT